AAAAAAAAAGGAGTAAGAAATAAAAAAGGGAAACTAAGAAGTGGAGTTTAAAGAGATTAGCCTAATACTTAAAGAAAGATATTCTAGATTGTAGTAAAATTAATATGCATACACACAAACACAAATTTTTAAAGAAACTAAAAAACACGGCTATTTTCAATGCTTTAAATTTCCTCATCAATGCCTGACTTTCTTTCAATTTAACTCCCTACCTTTTCCTTGAAATATTTTATAGCTATTTAGATCTACAAAAAACCTTTCTCATTTCATGACCTTTTTATTTCCCCCACTTACAAATAAAATCTGATTTCCTGATTTGCATTAGCCATTTTGCATCATTTCTATAAAATTTGTCTTATCTCTCCATGAGAGTATAAACTAGAGTGCATTTCCCAATCTCCTGAACATGGGCTGGCCTTGTGACTAGCTCGAGCCAGTAAAGAGTGGTAGCAACGATGATGTGCTTGCTAGTTGCAAGTACAGATCTCATGGGGGTGGCACATTTCCTCTTGCTCTCTTGGAGCCCTGCCAAGATGCCATGTGAATCAAGTCTGCGTTAGGCTGCTGGTGCATGGGAGATCACATGGAGGGGAGAAGGGTTGGCCTAACTAAAAATGCTAGATAAGGCAAAGTGCCAAGCCCACCCAGCAGCTGACAACTGAGTATGCTGAAGGTACGAGTGAGTACACTGAACCTACCCTAAACTTGTCAACCTGTAGAAATTTGACTTTAGCAAATAATTCTTGTTCTAAGACAATTTGTTTTGGAGCAATTAGTTACACAGCAAAGCTGCTGAAACAACTGAGATACACACAATGACTTCATCCTTCTATGTAACACTTAGCAGACTGTGCCTGATGTTAGAGTCTCTTTTGCTCCTTGAGAACATAGACTTTCTATTTACTTGTATATTCCCATTACGCTAGGTTGTGCTTCATTCATAGTAGGCACCCCTGGTTTAATAAAGTAAAGTAAAATGAAAATCAACTGAAATTCAAATTTTGGTGATCCTGAGCATTATCTACCTAATGTTTCACAACAGAAAAACTTCAAACCATCACTAGCATCACTGAATAACCAAACAACTACTGAGAATCTCTACTGACCTCATATTATACTTTCCAAGTATGAACTGCTAAAGACCAGCAGTTATTACCACAGGAGAGCACGTGCCACTTCCGGGCAGTTAATGAGTGGGCCTTTCAGTTGTCCTTCTCAAGATTTAGCATAAACATAAATTTGGATTTTGATAGAAATATGCTCTTTATTTGATTTTGATATGTATGAAAGCAATCTTACTTTTATAAATTTAGAAAATATAAGGTGAAAAGAGGCAGATTCTGGTTTGTACTAATTCATATTATTATTAACAGCAACTGTTCTAAACCCAGAAATCTGACAAATGAAAAATATAAATGCATTTTAACTCTGAATTGCTATACATATGTAAAATATCATGAAAATGTGTATATTCAAAATGTCATTTAATTCTCTGCCTTAAGATAGGAAATTTAGAACAGACAGGACAGGTGAGAAAGGATGAATAGTTTTGCTATCCACATCTCATTTGCTTCTTAATGAAATTCTGTAGCTTTAAATGACACTCTGTTATTATAAGCCACACAGAAATGATTCAATCAAACATTCTGTTTTGAATATTTTAAAAAATTATCATTTGATTGATAGTGTCTGTAACACTCTAAAGCCGAGAGCATGAGAGCATGATCGGGTGAATATACTCATAAGTCAGTGAGGTAAACGCACTCCATGACAAGAAAAGACCACCTGGCTGTTCTGTCTGGGGACAAATCCCCTTCCTGTGTAGGGTGTATTCAAAAATTGCCTTAACATTAATGTCTTGCTTTAACTTCTGTTACTCCTGTTTACTATTGTAAAAGAGCATAATAATGAAGCCAGTGAATAAGCTGGACAACTGAATCAGGACCTAGAAAGGCAAAGACAAGCTTGAATGATTAAAATGTATGTTGTAAAAAGAAAAATATACGTTAAAAAGAAAAATATAGACCAAAGAGAGTAAAGTCTCCAATTTTGGTTGGTAAAATCAACAATATAAATACTAGCTAAGGAAAGGATGTAAGTGTTACACATGAAAAAAGCTTCTTAGTATCAGATAAGAAGCTTAATAAACCAGGAGTAGAATATCCACCTCCCAAATTAAAGATGATGAAAAATATATAGCCAATGGGCTCAAACAAAGTGAGTCAGATTTTAGTCAACCTAAGAAATAACTTCCTGGTAATCAGATTGGCCTAATGTGAAATGTGCTGCTTTGTACAAGTGAGTTCTCTGCAAGGGGGGTATTCAAACACAATCTGGGATACTACACAGGGTTGTAAGTATCAAGCCAATGGTCACACTACATGAGTTGTAAGAATTCTATTTCAGGGCTCCGGAGAGTAGATGCAGATGCACAGTGAATTCAAGGGCACTTGATCATGACTCATTTTAGGTCAAGATTTTTCCAGGCTTTCTCCCAATAGAATGAACATCTCTACAGATCAAAAGAAGTCTCCTTTTTAAAAGGTGCTCACTTTAGATAAGTTGTGGCAATGACTAAGATTAACTGTCAGGAGATAAGTATTTTCAGCATGGAGTGTGGAATGATAATTTTTCTCACAATGATTCAACTATTTGAGGCCTGCTAATAATAAGTGCCCTGAGAGGGAAGTTTTTAAGTGATCTAGGTTAGAAAAACTTAAGCTACCTTAATCAATATAAATAGAAATTAGGAGATAGGGAGAGGTATACGCTTTCATTATTAGTAATATTTTAGAGTTTTGGTTTTTACTGCTCCATTAAAGAAACTCTGAGAACAGAAAGGTAATAGAAAGTAGGAACTTAAGCATAAACCACTATGCTCACTGAGAGCTCACAGTACTTGAGAATTCATCCCCAGCTCAGGTCCACCTTATTTTGGCTGTGTTTGCTAAGTTACTCCTTTTAGTTAACATTTTCGGTGAACATTAGTCACTTTCCATAGGGACCAAATCCACAAACTAGAGAGAATGATCACATAGCCTTCTCATGAATAGTGAGAAAGGAAAATTTTTCCTTGGCTGTGCTTCTCCAATGAAGTTTAATTTCTGCTTTCCAAGAAAAATCAATTGGCTCAGAAGTTTCTGAGAAGAAATGTGGAGGTGGAAGTGAAGTCCAACAGATACCACCCCACGAAGCCCTAAAGCAAAATTCCAATCTTTCAACCTTCCATCAGTCAAAGGGTTAAAACCTGAATGTCTGTGACTGGAATCCACAGGTGGAAGGTGTTAAGAGTGGAAAAGGATACTTCGCTCCATTCGTGACCATGCTGGGAAAGCCTTTATGTGGAAGAGAACCCCCACCTCGGCCCCCAAATATTAAGTTGACACACGTTTCAGAAACGCGGTCTGAATCCACAAACTATGGAGGGTGTGTAGAGACACAATTTTCTGTTTTCTGCTCAACAGGGCTTTCCAGATTTGTCATTAGATGACAGATTACACCACCCATCCACAAGGATTCAGGGCTAGCTCAGGCCATCCATTATGGGTTAAAAGCTGTTCCAGCATGAATCAAGTCACAGTGGTAAGGAGACTACCAATACAAGGGGTCCTACAGCTTTAAGAAATACCCTGGGCATCTAAAAGTTTTCAGAATGCAAACTATGTCAGCTCTGAAAACAAGAGGCACTGCATCATTATGGCAGGAGAAACAAAGCCAGCCCCCTTTTAAAAACAGACAAAAAAAAAAAAAGATTGTTTTAATAGGAGAGAAGCATCAGTCATTGATTCATTCACACTTTCTATCCAACCCCATCCATCTTCAGAGTGAAGAGATGACAGAGCCCACTTAACTCTCCCTCTTTCAGCCCCCACCCAGGCAACTCCTCTATACCCAAACCACCAAGACCTACCAACCCATTCAATTCATTCTGCAAGAAAAAACCCTGTGGAATGACTCTTTCTATCCCTATATGATGGGCTTGCAAGACTCAGGTATATCTAAGCTTTCATCACTACTTTAATATGGATGCATGTCAGGTTAGCATGACTGGTCAGAGCCTTTACTAACCATCTTCTAAAAGGACCAGTTAGTCACTCATGGCTGATCACATTCTACAAAGGAGAGGATGGGAAACTTAAGGCAACAGAAAAAAAGTCAACAAACCAAACTAAAACCCAGAATGTAAAATATTTCATTTTTCTTAAATGCTGCTGCCTTCATTATCTACAAACAAAAGTTCTCCAGGCAGGCAGTCTCTGCATCAATGCACCTGCTTAGCATGGGTTTGCTGAGTTATCTTTTTGCTGTGTCTGCAGAAGCCAACTATAGCACAATGGGTCACATCACTTGAGGGTCACTTGAGTCCCTCTACTCTCTGAATCCCCCTCCCACCTCCTGCCTTCCCTTCTACCCACAAAACCTTTAACTCCACCATAGCTAAGGATCCCAGATAGCTAAATAAAAGAGGTGGCCTCAAACACAGGGAAAAACCCTTAGGTCTCCAGTGTGAATCGCCAACGCCAATCCCCCTTCCCTCCCCTTTTCCTTAAGACCTGATGGTCTTCAGTCACACATCTTAAAAGAAAAACAAAAAACAAAAACACAAAGACCTACTTGTCTCAAGTCGATGAAGGCCAACTGCAGCGTGTCCTCCTGGAACCCAGGCACCGGGCCGGATCTGGCAAACTCTGTGGGAAAGAAAAGAGGATAAAAAGCGCCTTTAACTAACCATGGACAGGGAGATTGGCAGACGGATGACAGGGAAGACAAGAGAGGCTGGGGGAGAGGAGGACCAAGCTTCTAAGGAGTCATGTCTTTCTCCCTTCAGCTTCTTTGTTTGCCCTTCAAAATTCGTGTCATCAAAACACCATTAATTCCAGCATCCTGACAGCAAGGAAACTGTACTAATTCGACCTGAAATTTATTCCCATGAGCCGCGCTGGGCTTCAGAGTATTTGTTTTGTGAATGGACAAACAACTTGCAAAGGAGGAGGGAGAGGGGGAAAGAAAAAAGTTTTTCCTCTCAACACAATAAAATCTTCAGCTGTGAAACTCTTTTCAGTTCCGAAAGCTATTTATATTTTAGATCTCTGAAGGAATTTTCTAATTTCACGCCTGTCACTTCATTCTCCAAGCATTTATCAAAAAATATTCCCTGCCACATCATTAATTATTCCCTCACTGATTATTTGGATTATCTCATGGGTGCATTGTCGCACATGCGTGTATACACACACACACACACACACACACACACACACACACACGACCAGCAAAACCAGCAGCAGGGTCTGCCCCAATTCAATGTTTGGTTCTTGAGCAAAGGAATAGTTGAAGAGATGAAAAGGCTTATCTATAGACAAATCTCACTGTAGAAACAGAGAACATTTGCACATGTCCATCCTTTTGGTATATTCTTTGTCCTTGACTTCTATATCACTCTCAACAATTCTTTTGTTTCTTCCCTCTATCCCAATTTAGTCGTAGGTCGAAGAGACCACCAAATGCTATTTGCAATTTACAGTAGCACCTTGGGTACATGCTCAGTTTATGACACTGGTTCTACATCATTAACAAGAAGATAACTGAACAGGACTATAGGGACAAATACTAGTAACAGTTAAGAATGTCAAGTTTTATTGTCCCTAAGCCCAGCTTATTATGGAATCAAAAGGTCTTGTTTAAGCCCCCTACTCTCTCTCTCACACACACACACACACACACACACACACACACGATTCAAGAGCTGGACCGTTACTGTCTTTAATTCTCTGTGAATCAAAAGCATGGTGGACATTTAGCATTAATCTGTTTACGGTAAAACAACACCAGTGTCTACACAGCAAATATGAAAAGGAATGTTTTCTTATTAGTTATTACATTTTTCTCCAGGAATTAGTTTAAGAACTTTGAGTCAGTGTTGCATTTTTCTTCTGAAATTAAACAAAATCCATCAAGATATTTGTATATAAATCTGGTTTATATAGTTCCAACAACTAGTAGCTGGATAGATTCAAACAATCATTTGTGAAGAAAGATAGAAATTTATGTTCTTTAAACATTGTTTCCATCTAGACAGTCCACAGAAATAACAGGTTTTCAAAAAGCCCTTGTACCACCCTTATAATATAAAGCCAACAAGTTAGGCTGTAGGGATTATGGAAACATTATGTGAAATGAAATTTCAAATATTTTATTAAACTAATTAAAATGTAGCCCAAGTGTATTATACAATTGCACACAACATATTCTCATTTTAGACATTTCAAATTAAAATGATGTCCATAAATGGGAAAAAAAAAACTATGTAGCGTGGATAGCAGCATTAGTTTCTCTTTCTTTTGAAAAGAAAGTACAAAAGCCATTTATAAACTAATTTTATCATATGTGTGTGTAGCCAAAGTAATTAAGATTTTAAGAGTCAAATTCTAAAACTGCAAATACTTGAAGAGAACTGTGCTAACAGAAAGCTTGACATAATCCATGCCCCATATCTTATCATAGTTATCTGTGATAGCCTTGCATATAGATGATAACTGTTCAAGTCAAATGTACAACTTTCCCATACGATGGTCCTGTAAAAGCAATCTTTGAATTACAGCCATAGCCACTCTTGGATAGTCTTGACCGTCAAACAATCAACTTAAATATGTTTCTCCTACTCGCTGACTTCATGCAAGGATGCATATTATCACTGTTGCTCCTCTATGGCTGTATGCTGTATCGTTTAAAAGTACGAAGTCTCCTCTGGGTGTGAACCTATTTCCTTCAATCATATACAGTGCTGTAAAGCACTGTTACCTCCATAATAAAATATAAATGAAGTGCTCTCTGTTAGTCGGCTCCCTGCTTGTGTGACATGTAACAACTGTCACAGTGCTCAACTAGCCTACATCTGCCAGCTCAACAGAGCTGCTGTGTGACACATGGGGAGAATGTTTGTGAGCCGCTGCCCATTCCTGAGTCTGCTTTTTGGGCATGTTCCCTGAGAAGAATGGATGATGCTGATGAAATCGCAATCTGGATGTGGTATGTCTTTAGTTCTCAGAGTCGCACATTAGAGACCTCATTTTATGACACATTGAGTCTTTTGTGTTCCCAGAGGACCTGGTGGCCTTTTAGATTTGCATTCCGCTTTTATAAGTCAGAGAATCAGAGAATGACAATTATATCAAGGTACAACAAAGTAAAGAGGTTATTTTTCATATATGAGTTATGGAACATGTCTAATTACTGTATATTTGTATTTTTTCTCATTACTTTATGCATGTAATTCTTTTCTCCCTGTGTAGATAGTAAATTCCTAAAGAATAAGGAACATATCAAAGAAACCCACAAATGTTCAAAACAGCAGATGCTCAGCAAGGACTTATATATCAATTAAATAAGGTCACAAATAGTAAAACTCATTAATCACACATAATCTTCATTGTCTTGAAAACCTTTGGATTACAGTAGGTAAGGCGTTGTTAAACTGAGTATCAATAAGCAGGCTCTAGGAATTTATGAGTTCCCTAAAATTAAGTGTGCAATTGATTATCACCTCCATTTTCAATTAGTTTTTTGTGTGAATATGCATCTATTTGGGAAGTTTCATATTTTTTTTCTGAACTCTCAAAAGGCTAGCCACCAGAGGTTAAGAAATACTGTTATAAACAAGGCAAAACAAAAGAAAGTCAGCTACAACTCATTGATAAGTTAGTGAGTTGTAAACGCATAAAATAAGCCTCCTATAATTTTGTAACTCAATATGTCTTTAAAAAGATTATCTTCCAAGAGTCAGAGTCTTCACCCTCTAACTAGGTTTACTGAGGGTAAGTTGCTTTACATTGTTGCATTTGTTTAAGGGGATATAGACTTACACCTCTGCAAAGATACATTTCTACATGCCTACCACCAAAGCACCAATACTCCTCCACCATGCTCCATTGGGCCCCTAACCCCTGCTTCCATTCTGCCACTTTCCCTTTCTGCTTACTTCAGTTTTGCAGTTAGATGTCAAAGGTTTGTCACCAGTTTGGTTTTGCTTGGCCTGTGTTTATTGTTTATATTTCATATATAAATGAAACTATCAGTATTTGCTTTTGTCCTACCGACATTTCACTTAAGTGTTATACTCTCAAGTTTCTTAGCTATAGTATGAGGAAAGGTACACATTTAAAAAAAATAAAATGAAAGCCTGTAAGTAGTGTGATTTTATAAATTATAATCTGTATAAGACATGGCAGTAAGCACTCAATGTTACAATAGGTTACTGCAGAGAGGAAGACAAAGGAAGTGTTTCATCCTTTATATTTCATAACACTTTAAAATGATCACAGATTACTTTTATAATCAAAGAAAAGGAGATAGAACAATACACACATATATGCTACTGTTATTTAGTGGTGCTGAGTCAGTTATACTTTCCTTAATGACAAAAGATATAACAAGCTCAAAATTTAGCATTACAGGCAACTAGGATCAGATGGCACATTAAATTCCCAGATGCTGGGTGATCAATAGAAGGAGGAAAACAACAAATAGGGGGATGGAAAGAAGTACATGGCCTGTTGTTAACACAATGAGACATACACAAATCAAACATATGTACACACAACAGCCACTTTTAGCTCCCAAATGAAAACCTCCTTTTGATGTCATACAAAGAGGAATATGTATGTAAATTGTGGCCAAATGGAGCCAACAGATATATGGGTACAATGAATAATCCTTTCCTGGTTTTTGGATTCCACAATCTGTAGTAGGTTTTTGTCTCTAAGTGGCGTGAGCCTGCACCAGTTTCCAAATCTTAGAGTGCTACCGAATGGCCTCAAGCCTGAGAGAGCATCCAGGGGTGCTTGCATTATCAGAAAGGACACCTCATGCTACTTGGGGAGCGAGGCAAGGTTTCAGTGAGACTGCTCAGAAATCTTCCACGTGGGAAACTTGCTAGGTTAGCAGAGCCCCTGATCAGCACTGACCCAGAGAGCTCAGCAGCCCAGCAGGTCTCCCTCACCTTGTCTAGTCATGGTAAGGTCTCTCAGGTATACCAGCGCTAACTCCAAGATCAAATTTGCAAGTGTAAACAATCTGTTAATGAAGAAATTCAACTAATTGAAGTTTATGAAGGAAAAATTTTCATTAAAAAAATTAAAAGGAAGGATACAAAGTGAATGCCTCCACCTAAGGTGAAATGAGATACATGGGGAGAAAAAAAAATTACACAAGAAAACCTATTTTACTTACCAATATTAATCATTCCTTTACATTCCCAAGTACACTTGAATCTATGATAAGTGGCTATCATTTTTTAAAACAATATTAATTTTTCAAAAATAGCCAGTATGGGGGGGGGTGGGAGAGAAACAGATGGGGTTTGGGCATGGATGATTTGGTGAGGGATGAGCTGAACATGTACACATATGGAAGTGCAAAAATGTAACCCCCCAAAATTAAAATTAAAAAAATCTTCTGTAGACTTAACTTTTCTAATACTGTTCACATTGTGAAGAAACAAAACTACCAAAGGGAAAAGGGAGGTAGTTCCATTAATTTCAAAATGTTTTCTAGGGGTCTCCCTGGTTGTGAAAGGGGCTAAAGCACAGCATTATGGAGCCATCCAACAGCCACCACAGCAGGAGTTCGATCCCTGGTCAGGGAGGTGACCCACAAGGTACAGCAGACCTCTCCTGTTTCTCCCACTGCT